GTGTTGGGCCTGTTGACCCCGTAAGGTGCGGAGCCCACGACGCCAGGCCAAGGGGGTTTGATGAGGGTCACCCCAGATGGCAGGAGCTGGTGCTTCGAGCTTCAGGGAAGGGGAGTTGCGGGATGGCCGGGACCCGGCCTGCCGAGTGGAGCCCCCAGTAAGGCCAGCTCCGTCTGTCCAGGGGATCAGAGCCTCGGACCAATGGCCAGCGGGGCCTCGCTGTCCAGCCTCCCCACAGCCCCTTGAGCGAGCTCAGCCGTCCACACCCTGTGCCAAGGCGAAGACGTGCAGGCCGGCGGAACGTGGGAGTCAGCACCAGCAGACAGGAGGAACTTCTAGAAGACGAACTTCCGAAAGAATGGAAATGACCCCAGAGGAGATATCTGAGAAGCAAGAAGGAGCAAGGAGCAAGTTCATTAATGATGATGCTAATTTGGGGGTGATTCTTAAAAAGTCAAGATCAAGTTCTGCAGAACAAAAACAAGACTAGAAGGAACAGTTATAATTAAAGTGTTCTAAAAGTTTTGTATAGTTCGAAGGGAGAAAGACCTATTGACTAAGTTTAGACTTGGTTAACACACCTGTGAAAATGTTAAGGATAATCTAAGAAATAGAAATAGAGCCCTGGCTGGTGTGGCTCAATGGACTGAGCACGCCCTTCTGAACCAAAGGGTCTCTGGTTCGATTCCCAGTCAGGGCACATGCCTGGGTTGCTAGGCCAGGTCCCCAGTGGGGAGCACATGAGAGGCAACCACACACTGATGTTTCTCTCCCTCTCTTCCTCCCTCCCTTCCCCTCTTAAAAAAGAAAGAAAGAAAATACAGTGTGTAACCTCCAAGCCAGTAAAAAGAAAAGGTATTAAAAACTCAGAGGATGTTAGGAGAAGAAACAATAGATGTGCAGAAAATATTGCTCGCAAGGAAGAGGACCCAGTGTCTTTAAGCAGAAAAGTGATTTTCTAGACCATTTTAGGTGGTTCTCTGTGTTGGTTAATTTTGTGTGTCAACTAGGCTGGGCTAACGAATGCCCGAGGGCCTGGAAAACACTGTCTCTGGGTGTGTTTGTGGAGGAGATTAACATTTGGATCAGGAGGCTGAGCGAGGAGTTCCCGCACCGGGGCTGGCATCCCGGTTGCCGAGAGCCTGAACAGAAAAAGCAGAGGCGGGGGAGGGAAGGGTTTTCTGCCTGGGCTGGGACACTCACCGACCCACCGACCGCCCAGACGCCGTCCCCCTCAGGATGCTCTTGCCCTGTTTCAGTCCCTGCCTCGGGACACAATGGGCCGACTTCTGGTAGCATAGGTTATTTTTGCCCGCTCTGGTACTGAATTGAAGCAGGCAGTGTATAATTTTATGTCTGCTTTTTACCTCTGTCTTGTCTGAGATTCGTCCATACTGCTCATCCACTGTGTGAGTATCCACCATGTGATATTTATCCACCATGTAGATTTATCCATTCTACTGCCAACGGACATTCAGGTTGTTTCAGTGGGGGCGGTTATAAATAGCGCTGTTCTGAACATTCCTGTTCGTGTCTTTGGCTGAACATATGTCCTTTTTCTGTTGCTAAGCCAACACTTTTAAGCTCTCTTCTTAAATGACTTTTTATAATGGATTTTAAAAAGATTTTATTTCATTCATTTTTGGAGAGAGGAAGGGGGGAGAAAGAGAGGGAGAGAAACGTTAATGTGCAATAATAGATAGGTTGCCTCTCATACGCCCCCATCTGGGGCCCCGGCCAGCAACCCAGGGCAGGTAACACGCACATATTGGGCCTGTCGACCCCGTCAGATGCGGAGCCCGCGACGGCAGGCCAAGGGGGTCTGCTGAGGGTCACCCCAGACCTTTCGGTTCGCAGGCCGTTGCTCAACCCTCTGAGCCGCACCAGCCAGGGCTTCATTTATTTTTAGAGACAGGGGAAGGAAGGGAAAAAGAGAGGGAGAGAAACATCCTTGTGCAAGAGAAAGGTCAATCTGCTCCCTCTCCCACACCCTCAACCGGGCACCTGGCACGCAACCCAGGAACGTGTCCTGACCAGGAATCAAACTGGTGACTTTTCAGTTTACAGGCCAACGCCCAACCCAGTGAACCAGGCATGTCAGGGCTTTTTATTCTTTAATGTTGGACTATACATGTGTATGTATGTGTAGATTGCATTCATACATATGTGCCTCTAACATAAGACCGATTTTTTCCTAACCACCATGCCAGTACCACACCCACCAAAATTAATTCCTTAATGTTATCTACTAGCCAGTCTGTTCAAATTTGCCTGATAATCTCAGTTTTTTTTTGTTTGAATCAGGATCCAAAGTGTCCATTGTGTTCCTCTCAATGCATCTTTTTCATCTGTCACCTTTTCTCATGTCTTTTATATTTTACTGAACCAGCTCCTTTGCCTGTAGAATCTCCCTAGTGATCATGTCTAACACGGTTCTCTGTCCCCTCCTGCTTTTTAGACACTGGCAGGTAAACCCAGGGCCATCATTTGGAAAAGAATACTTCACAGGTGACATTACCGCATCCAGCTGGAGGTAATGATGTCAAAGTGGAAAGTGGGTTCAGGAGCTGCGGCTACGTGCACTTGTTACAAAGTTTCCTATCAACTTTCGCCAGGGGTTTAGCAGCCGAGAATCATCACTGCCTACATCCTTGGCTGATGAGGCACCGAAAAGTGGTGATTTCCCAGCTATATCACCAGCTCTCTACCTTTAGCTGGAATTTTTCTGTAAGGAAAAGCTTTCCATTATCAAGTATTTGGTCACTCTGAAATACAATTAGTACAGGAGAGGCAGGGAAATCCTTGACTTTTTGTCTTTTTCTTCCTTTTAAACAAATTTCAGTATAAAGATTCAGTGCCCGTATCAGTCAGAGCCCAGTCAGGAGATTTAAACTTTTATCAGTTACTTTTTTTAAAACAAATTCTAATTATTTCTTCTTAGGGAAGGGAGGGAGATAGGGAGAGAAACATGTATGTATGGTTGCTTCTCACACATCCCATACTAGGGACCTGGCCCACAACCGGAGCACATGCCCTGACTGGGAATCAAACCAGCAGCCCTTTGGTTTGCAGGCCCCACTCTATTCCTTAATCCACTGAGCCACGCCAGCCAGGACTCCAGCAGTTACTTTAACTGAGACTTTTATTTGGAGTTGTTAATGAGATCTTTGAGTACTGTAAAAGCAGAAGGTCAACACTGAGTATCACTGAGCAACTGGAAGCAGAGGCCACCACCCCTGTGGGAGCTAGGACGCGGGCCTCTGGAGGCTGGGGAATGTGCCAGAATCGTGCAGGTGGCGAGTGGCGGGAAGACCCAGGCCAGTGACTACAGAAGGGAAGGGAACTTGAATGTTTCTCCTGTCGACAGACACTCAAGCCCCAGAAGGCTGACCCAGCAGAGCAGGCCCCTCACCCCACCCGGCTCCTTCGGTCACCCCCAGTCTGCACACAGGCTGACTCGTTCCTGAGGTCACCACGGGACAAGACAGGATCAGCTGGGGAAGCCGGGACAGGGGGCCTCAGTCCCAGGGGCACCAAGAAGAGCACCTCGGGTGAAGATGGGTGGGAACTCAGCCCACCAGCCACACTCCGAGGGCCTGCGCCTGGCAGCCTAGAGGGCGCACCTTCCTCCCACTGCATCAGGGTCCCTGGGATGCAGGGCCCTGCCCGGGCCCCCAGAATATGAACTGGAGAGGTGTCTTAAAGCCAGCCAGCTCCAGAGAAGAGGGAAGGGAGGGAGCAGGTTCCTGGGCCTGTGGGCCAGACAGTCCTCACCACGCCACGGGGGAAGCACCAAATGGGACCGTTAGCCGACAGGAGGAGCCACAGGCTGGGTGTGGCCCCTGAGGCCTGAAGCTGTCCGGAGGACCTGAAGGGGGTGGGTGCAGCCAGAGGGAGCAGGACCCAGAGAGAAGAGGGGCCCCATCCTGCCCCTGCTCAATACACAGGCCACGCCTGCCTTGGACAGTTGGCACTGAGGGTCTGTCACCAGGCCGAGAGGGGCTTTCTATCTGGCAGTGCCCTTGTTCAATGGCTGCCCCCCCTCGGAGCCCCGTGGGCCCAGGCAGCAGATGCCCAGCAAACGCGTGCCGAAGTAACGAGAGGATGAGCGTTCTCAGCTCTGCTTTATACCAGCCCCATGAGTCTGAGATCGCGTCCCTGAGACGCACACAGGAACACTGAGGTTCAGTGGTACTTGTTGCCCAAGGTCAACCAGCAAGTAAATGGAAAAGCACCCAGAGCTAGTACCCAGCTTGCCCCCAGCCCCAGTTGAGAGCTCACTGACCTTCATACCAGCCTGCTCCCCGGCACTGCTGCCTCGGTGCCAGGGGTCAGTGAAGTACCGCGGGCAGGGCGCCTCCACTGGGCGGCAGGGCTGGATGCACACCCTCCCTGGGGTCAGGCATCAAAGGGTTCAGTGATCCCTCCTGGGGGCTGAACTGACTCGCCCCCACCCTCCCATCAGGCAGGGAAGGGTAAGCACCTGGCTTGGGGGTCCGCAGCCACAGAACAGAAGAGGTCAAGATGGTGTCAAATGAAGTCTTCCTGGAGGAGGCCCACCTCAGGAAGACCTGCCAAGCCCCTGTTCACCATGTCCTGCCTACCCAGTCACCAGGGCCAGAGTTCAGAGGAAGCCTGGTCCACTGTTGCCATAGGCACTTCCGGCTCTGACGATGGCAACAGCCTCCTAACCAACGGGCCGTTGCCTGCAGGGGATAAAGCGTGGGCTTTGAAATGAGCTTGGCCAGGGCTGGTACCACTGCCACCAAGCCAGGGACACGGCACTGCCTGTCAACACCAGATGGCCTGTGCAGGCTTTTGGGAGAAATGGACTGTATTCCTCAAACCCTAAACCCAGTCTGGACACCCTGCAGGCACCACCGAGGGACACAAGGAAGGAGCCAAAGCAAAAATTAAATCAGAGCCAGAGCTCAGGACGAGCGGGGACAAGAGCTCGAGAGAGGAGACTGCAGAATGAGTCTGCCACGCAAAGACTGCTGTCAGAGCGACTGGGTAAGGCAACTGTATTTTGTTCTTTGCTTACATTTCTCACTTTTAAAACAGTCCGAACCATCTGGAATATATCTGGGTGCAGGTGGGGGCAGGACGCTGGTCTGTCTGGCCCCCAAGGGAGCCTTGGGTCACCTTCTCCTCGTTCCGGGCCCTGGAGGCCCCTCAGCAGCACCTTGAGGCCTCCTCCTCCGCGCTCACCTCGAGGGCTCCCGTCTTCCTCGCTGCAGCCGTTCCTGGGACACGTCTCCTGGGAGGTGCTCTAAGGCACTCCCACCCTGAGGACACGATGCTCTCTCTCCGTGCAGACCAACGGGGCGCCTCCGCCCTGCACAGCGCCCAGTCCCTGTCCTGCCAGGCTGGGCAGTCCTGGGCCTGGCGGGTAGTGACTTGTGTGGCACTGGAAACTAGGTGCCCAAGTCTCCACTTCTTACCAGAAAGCCTGTCTTGCAGGAGACAAAGCGTGACCTTTGATAATGGCCCAGGTCCCATGCTACTGTGGCAGGGGTGGTGGGGGAGGGGCTGACAACATAAACCACTGGCCTGTCTTCGGCTGGCTGGTGGCCAGGGTTGGGGGGACTGTCTTAGAGGGTCCAGGCTGGTTCTCTCCCTGCATCTTGTTTAGTTATTCATGTCTTCTGATGACCAGGCCTCCCTGGCACAGACCAGGCTCTCAGCCATCTCACCTCCAAATTCCAGGCGAATGGATGAAAAAATGAACTCATTTAATCTTCGTAAGACGCCCTGTACAATGGTGGAACTGAGGCTCAGAGAGGTTCAGCGATTTGCCTGAGGTCACACAGTGGACCACTTAGCCTGCCTGAGGGTGGCGTTGATGCTCCTCCCGACACTGCCTGCCTCTCCTCCTGGTCTAACCCTGGAATCTGCACCATGACCAGGGAGGAAAAAATAAAAAGGGAACTTTATTTAATATTAAAGTCGGGGCAGGGACTGGAAGCGAGGGCAGCCTCACTTGGTGATGGTGTTCCTGCAGAGAGAAGAAGGGTGTGAGGCTGCAGTGCGGGCACCAGGCCCAGACCCGCCCGCCCAGGCCCCCGCGCCCAGCCCACTCACGCATTCATGCTCTTCCCGCTGCCGCTGAGCACGATGTACGGCGTCTTCTGGGCCTTCTGCTTCTCCTGGAGCAGAGCCACGGTGCCCAGTGGCGTGTCGCTAGAGCTCATCTTCTTCAGGAGCTGCGGGGTCGCGTGGCCAATCAGCACAAGGAAGGAGCAGCCCCAGCCCCAGCCCCCCCAGCACCAGCAGATGTAGAAGCCACCCCACGTCCCCACAAGCCACCCACCGCCTCCTCGTCCAGCTTCTTCATCCGCCGCTCTGTCTTCATCTTGCCTGAGCCTTTCCCATGGAAGCGGTGGGACAGCTGCCGGAAAGCCTGAGAACACAGGGCAGGGACCATGTTAGAGCTGCCTGTGCCCCACAGGGCACAGGGAGACCCAGCTGACCCAGGGTGGCGGGCAGGGGACGGGAGAAGGGGAGACAGGCTCCGGAGGGAGGTGTGCTGCACTGGAGACACGCGGGGTCTCGGGTGAGACCTGCTGGGCTGAGGCCGGGCCAGGTCACGGAGGGTGGAAGGAGGCCAGCAAACCTGGGGCGTGTGTGGGGAGCAGCACTGGTGGGGTGGGATGGGAGACAGGGAGGGGGCAGGGCAGTCAGGCAAGCGCTGCCGGCTAGAGCTGGGGGTCTGGGAGGGCACGGGAGGGAGTCCAGGGCCTGCACCCCGCCCACCAGAACAGCGGCCCCGAGGGCAGGCCAAGCCACCGAGGGGGCAGGTGAGCAAAGGAGCTGCAGGCACGTGTTGACCCTCCTGCCGGGCCTGCGAGGGGGACTGCTATGCCCACCAGAGAGGACACGGGGGCACAGAACATCGGACACTTCTCCACGACCCCTGGCCAGTGACCGACTGAGCCCAGGCCCCTCAGAGGCGTCCTCACCTCCTTAGGTGTGAGTTTCCGGCCCGTCTCGTCCACGTACTCAATCTTAACATCGGGCTTGTAGCCATCTTTCTCCTTGAAGTCCTGGGTGAAGCCACGGTACTCCTCCCGCCGGCTGTACTTGTCATCGATGGCCCTGACCCGAGACAGAAGGGGCTTCAGGGCCAGCCACCGCCCACCCTGCCGGGTGCCAGGCAGCCCCAAGCTGGCGCAGCCCCCTGGGCCTCTGCCCACCCCTGCCGCACTCACATCTTGTCCTCAATGCAGTATACCGCCGACGGCAGGGACTTGTTGGGGGCCTTCACCCGGGCCACCTTCTGCACCGTCGTCTCCAGCAGCCCTGGGGAGGGGGTGGTAAGACTCCGGGCTGTCCACCCCAGGCCAGGGGTGCAGCCCCAGGGTGGGCCTGCCGCCCTGGACCGCACTGAAGGCCCTGCGGGGACCTCACAGCCGGGTAGCGGGAGAAAAGGCATCAGAACTGTTTTGCAACAAACAGAAGAGACTCGGAGGAATCAACCCTTGTCAAGGACCACCGACCAAGTAAATGGAGGAGCAGGGATCCTAATGCTGGGGTCTCTGTGCCCCCCATGCTTCCTCAGAGGAGACACCCAGCACTGAGGGACAAACGGTGCTTTGCAGGGGATACCACGTGAGCAAAGCCATCACAACTGGGTGCTGAAGAGCAGGCCGTACACCCTGTGACCGCCGCACACCAGGTGCAAAGGGAGCAGCTCACAGCCCTGGGAGCAGGGGAAAGACAGCAAAGGGGACCGAGAAAGGCCTGGCTGGCGCCTGGCTTCACAGTGTCCGGGCCCCTCACCTTTGTTCTGACACAGGAGCAGCGCGGCCGCCAGCCCTCTGTTCACAATGGGCTCCTCGTCCAGGATGGTGGTGGAGGAGGCAGAGAACTGGGGGGGCGACACACTGTGGTGAGTGGGCCACGTGGACTCTTCTCCCCGCTTACCCACCAGTCAGCCCACCTCACTCGACTGTGGTCCTTCTCACGGCCAAGCCCCGAGCGCCCAGACGCCTCACTCAATCCTTGTGATAAGCCGAGGCGACTGAGGCTCTGAGACACTGAGTGACTTGCCACCAGCCCAAGCCTCCCTCCAACCCCGCCAGGCTGTGTGGTCCCTGCCCTTCCGCGCCCCCAGCCCCGCCCTTCCGCGCCCCCAGCCCCGCCCTTCCGCGCCCCCAGCCCCGCCCTCGCCGCCCCTCCTCACGTCCTGATGCTGCTTCTCCTCGTCCAGGTTGACCGTGCTCCAGCCGATGTTCTCCTCCCCATCGGACTCGGAGCCGCCATTGGCCGAGCGATCCTCGTCCCGTTCAAAGTCCTGGGGACGCAAGACCAGCATCAGCCCAGGCCCACCCCTGCAGACCATGGGGCTGACCCTGCTGCCCACCCTGCCCCCAGCCCCAAGCAGAGCAGGTCGGTGTGGCGGTGGGGGGTGTGCTGCCTCAACACCCACCATGAGCTCCTCCTGCTCCTCGCGGTTGCCAGCCAGCCCGTAGGTGGGGATCTCCCCCAGGGTGCGGCAGAACTCCGACGTGGCGTTGAACACGATGGCCCCCTTCCGCTCCGGGTCCTCCTCCTCCTCCCAGCCCCGCTGGCGGGACTCCAGCTTCTTCACAATCTCCACCACCTGGAGGAGGGAGCAGCTGTGGGCAAACCCAGAAGGTTCTGGGACACTGCACGGAGACCTAGGAACCCAAGGTCCTCCCTGGGAGCAGCGAGACAAGCCACCCCCCTGCCCACAGCAGACCTCTGATGGTCCCTACGTCCTCCCTGACTCTAGTCCACTCTCCACTCTGCACCTGCACCAATCTCACTAGACTAGGTCACTCCTCTGCTCCAAAGCCATCAATGGCTCCCTACTGCCCTTTGAATTGACATCCAAAATCCTACATGGCCATCGTGACCATGCCCTGCCAACCCTTTTCCAAAGCCCCCCAACTTACCACCTCAGCCTCACACACCCTCCTTCGGGACCTGGAGCACACTAGGGCCTCTCTTGCCGCTTCCTTGCCACCCACCTCTTCTAGAACCTCTCCCAATGCCTCAGGGTGCTCAGATGCCCTCTGGAACTTCCCCATGCGCCCAGCACTGAGTGCCCCAACCACCACACCCTCTGCCTGCCCTCCTGTGGCAGATGCCCAGCCCTGCTCCTGCCTCAGGGCACCCTCCTACCTGGCATGGCCAAGACCACTCAAAACTCTGCCCCTGACGGTATGCCCCGACTGCACCTACTCTGACCCCTCTATTGTGCCACCGCCAAGAGCACAGAGGATTATCTGGGACCTCCCCTCTGAAAAAAGTCCTCAACATGCAGCCTCACTGCTCTGCCCTCGAAAGCAACCTCCTCAGAGAAGTTTCCAGCCAGTGCATCCACTTCTGTAGCCCTTCCCTTCCATTTTATCATGTTTATTTTTTAATGGATGTCATCATAAGCCTAAAAGGGTTATATCTAACAATGCATTTTTCTTTTAAAGTAACAGAAATAAGCAAACACACACCCATCACCCGAGTACCCTTCAGGGCCCCATGTCTGTGGTCACAATTCACTGGCCTTCTTTCCAGGTTCGCCAAGTGGGGACAACCCACGGCGTGTTATTTTGCCGTGTGTTCTTCAAACATTATGCAGTCTGAATTGTATAATTTTTGTAGTTTGCGCTTTTTAAAATTATTTATTTATTTATTTAAAGAGAGGGAGGGAAAGAAACATCCACGTGTGGTTGCCTCTCACATGCCTCCAACTGGGGACCTGCCCCACAACCCAGGCATGTGCCCTGACTGGGAATTGAACTGGCGACCTTTCAGTTCACAGGATGGTGCTCAATCCAGTGAGCCACACCAGCCAGGGCTGATTTGCTTTTTATGGAATTGACATGCTATCTACTGAACTAATGAGGCACCCTGGTTTGCTTTTTAAAAACCTATTTTAAAACTGAATCTTGACACGAGAGGCTCCAGTTCGTTGGCTTTCCACTGCAAGGTCACCTCCCGAGACGAGAGCAGACCCCAGTCCAGGCCTTTTCTGCCGCCGCACAGGATGCGGCTACGGGCCTGTCTCCTGCGCGCACGGGCAGGCGTCTCTCCGGGCTGCACATTCGGGAGGGCCAGCTGGGCTGCGCCTTACACTTGCACGCTCACACGTGCGTGCTCATGCACACTTTCGCTCTAAGAGAATGTGCTGATGTCCCCCTGTCTGGTTAGACTCACAGGCCCACGGAAAATGTTAATGATTCTGGCAGCTCCACACCCACACGCTAGACTTTGTCAGACTCGGACGTTTGTGACAAACGGCGGGGGTGTGGACTCGCACGTCGCTGCGCTAGCTCTCCCGCCCTTGGTCACTAGCGAAGCGGAGCCTCACTGGGCACCTCGGCAGCCGTTCATCCTGCCACGTCTGTGAACTGCCTGCTCGGGTCTTTGGCCATTTCTGTTTTGCCATGTTTTTGTTCTTTATGAATCCTTGACACCAGCCCACTGACAGTTACGCACATGGGCAAGTCTCTTCTTTGGGCCTTTTTACATTCTTCATACCTTTTAAACAAAACTTAAGTTTTTAATTTGTAAGTAGAAATGTTATTTTTTTCTTCGTGGCTTATGCTTTACATTTCTATCTTTAAAAACCTCTTTCTTGAACTCAGACAATCACAAGAAGACACACACTCTATGGTTCCACCTAGAGGTCCCTGGAGGAGTCAGACTCAGACAGAAAGCAGAGCGCTGGGCGCGGGCGGGGAGCAAGTGCTGGGTAGGACGGGGCTTCCGTTTCACAAGAGGAACAGAGTCATGGGGATGCACGGTGGCGAGTGCGCAGCAACACTGGATGTGCCACTGGACCGTACACTTAAAAAATGATAAATTTTGTCGTGTGTATTCCTTTTTTCCTACCACAAACTCATAAACATAATCCCCTGTATTTTCTGAAATACTGTGTTTTTACTTTGGACACTGCACTCCGTCTGTAAGTGAACTATGGGTAAGTGTCAGGCCTGAGGCTCGCCCCGCTGAGGCCCCGGCCACCCGCGCCCACACCCAGCCTCAAGGGCCCCTACCTTCTCGCCACTGTCTCGCAGCTGCTGCAGCTGCCGCAGCCGGCGCCCCTTCTCCAGCTGCTTCTGCAGCTCCAGCTCCGCCTCATCCTCCTCCAGCAACTCTGGGGACCCAGGCGGCGGCCCTCCGCCCTCCTCTGGTGGAAACACAGGAGATGCCTGCTCAGGTCGCCCTCTGGGACCCTGGGCTCCTCTCCCTGCCCCTCCGCCCAGCCTCAGCTGGCAGGGCCCCTCACCCTCATCACTGATGTCCATGTTCTCTACCCGAGTGTCATCTGACTGCGGGGGCTGAGGCTCGGGCTCCTTCTCCTCCTCCTCCTGGGCCTCCTCGTCTCCCTCCGGCACGCGGCGCCGACCCCGGCCCCGCAGTCTGAGCGAAAGAGACCTCTCCAGTGAGCATCGGCCCCCAGGCCAGCCCACCCCCACCCCCCACCCGTGTCCAAGCCCACCTGGAACCAAAGTCCCCATCTTGAGTCTGGTCCCCAAGAGGCAGCAAGTCATCGGCCCGCACTACCACCTCCTTCTCCTTTTTGCGGATTTTCTTCACCTTCCGCTTGATCTTTTTAAAGGTCACCTGAGGGAGGAGAGGAGACATGAAGGGGGAAGCGGGAAGGCGGGCCGCCGCCAGCCCACGAGGATGAACACTTCTTACAGGAAAAAAGACGTGAGGTGTGAGTGCCACCCCACCAGTGGGATGAGGAAAACTGAGGCACATCGCCTAAGTGCCTTGCCCAGGGTCCCCCAGCAGCTCGGGGGGAGCTGGGGCCGGGAGCCTCGGCAGTGTGGCTCCCCCTGCTCTTGCTCTTGGCCACTCAGCCACACCGTCTACTGAGCCAGCTGCTTGACCTCTGTCTTCACACAGTAACCCCCAACTCGAAACCTACATACACCCCCAGAATCGCCACTTACCAAATCATCACTAACCCTGCACCTGCCCTCAAGAGGTGGCTCCCTCCACCCCCATTTCAGATGGCGCACCTCAGTCTCACAGTTACAAGGTTCACCCATGGCACAGGCTGGCTCCGGGGCAGAGCCTGAACTCAGACACAGATCCACCTGGCTCCCGGTCCCTGCCACTGCCGCCCCAGTACCTCCCCAGGGCTGCCAATCACGGCTCCTCTGCAAGGACAGAGCTCCGTGGGAAGACCAGACCCCCCTCCTTAGCTCATTCTGACAGGAGGGAGGCACCACGGCCCAATGACGAGTGTGGGTTGGAGCCACCAAGCTCACCATCTCCTCCGGCGTGAGGTACTCGGAGGCCAGCCGGGGCCCGACCGCACTCAGCGACTGAGCTTGCAGCCGCAGCTTGGCCCGGATCTCTTCCAACTCACGTTCCCGAAGGCCATCGGCCACGCCGCCCTGTTCCAAACGGAAGGAGTGCGTCCGCTCGCCCTCCAGCTCCTCATCGTACTTGGACAGGATGGAACGGGGTTTTTGCTGCAAGGCAAGAGGTACAGGTTGAGACCCAGCCTGGCTTGTGAAGGGGCACAGAGCCGCCAATCCCCCAGAGCCCGCACTGCCGAGGTGCGCTGCCCCAGGCCCCGCGTTGCCCGCCTGCCTGTGCCAAGTCGTCCACGCTCTCGTCCTCTGCGTAGGGCAGGTAGTCGGGTTTCTTCTTCCGCAACTCCACGTTCTTCTCTGCCCGCTCCTTATCTACCAGGTTCACGTTCACCAGCACATCCTCTTCCTCCTGCAGCACTCCTGGGGACAGGACAGAGGCAGCAGCCAGTCACACCTGCCTTCAACTCAGCTGTGCCCGAACCAGAGGACCCCAGCACAACCCACCTTTGTCTTTGAGGGTAAGGATCATTGTCTCTCCTTCTCTGAAGGAGTCGACAGCATGCTCCACAGTGAGGCCCTGTAGGTCCCGGGCACTGTACAGGTTCTAGAAGGAAGGGGGGAAGGTCCCGCTGAGTCAGGAGCCCTGACCCATGCAGGCCTGGTACCCTAGCACCAAGGACAGCGCACCACCCCCACCCCAGATGCTCACCTGCCGCCTCTGCCCGAACTCCTCCTCCACCAGAGTGCTGACACCAAACTCTTGGTCCATCTCCTCCAGCAGTTTGGCCTATGGGACAAGGGGCAGGGGGGAGGACCTATGATCTCAGGGCCACTGAGGATCACCGGAAGACACACAGGGCTTTCTCGAATGGGAGTACAAAAAAGGTAGGCCTTGTAGGAAAGCCACGGGGAGTGCAGAGCAGGTGCCACTGAGCACACACCTCCCACCTCTGAGCGCAGCCTCACCTCCCGTGGGTCAGCCCCTGCCTCACCAGCTTCCCTGGCACCAGAGACACCGAGCGACGCCCCCGGCTGCCCAGGTCCTCACCCTCTTCTCTGCCAAGTCCTTCTCCTTCTGAAGCTGCCGGCTCCTCTCGATCCAGGCCGCAGTGTCGTCCAGCCAGGGGTCATCCTCCCCGAGAGTCTTTATCTTCCTGAAGAGGGAAAAAGTGACCCCTGGGAGCCCAGCCCTTCCTGACCAACCCCAACCACAGAGCTCCTTGGCAGCCTCCTTGGGCTCTTCCCTTGCCCGCCCTGGCTGGGGCCCCCCCTCACCCCAGCTTTTGGTTCAGGAGGCGCTTTTCTTTGGCAGCTGCCAGCTTTTCTCGTAGCTCCTCTCGCTGCCGCAAGGCCATGGGGTTGATGATATCGGCCGCCACGGGCTCCTCCTTGGTGCCCGCCTCTGGAAGGGGGGCCCAGACGTGAGGCCATGCCTGCCCATGGCTGGTGGGGAGAGGAGGGAGGCACTCACCCGGCCCCCTTCCAGCTCAGGGGGACAGAAGGGGCCAAGGGGAGGGGGAAGGATCCTTCACTTCCCTACTCCCACTTTACCCCTCACTCCCATGTCATCCCACACTCCCATGTCAACCCACACAGCATGGTGGGACCCTCTTTGCCTTCCAAATGCCCCAAATCGTGCTTAAAAAAAAACAACCACCCGCAGGGCTCCAGTCTGTGACGACTGCGTGCACCCCTCAGCCCATCTAACGTCACCTGGCGGCCCAAGCGAGGAAGCAATGCCCACCGTCCGAGCTTAAAGAACGAGCCGAGGGCCATCGTGAAAGCAAGCAGTCCCGTTCCCACCAAGATCACACACACAGACCACAACAGGGACTGAGTCTCTCCTCCGAGCCCGCTTTCCTCCACCCACATGCCCCCCCCCCCCGCCCCGCCCGGCCACACACTCACCCTTCTTGACAGCATTGACCTCCAAGGGTTTCAGCCCCAGCTTTGCCCGGAGTTTACTGAGGACCAGATATACAAGTGTTAGGAGCTGTCAAAAAAATCAAAAGGAAACGGGGCACCGAACGCATTTCTGGACATACGGGGATGAACACAGGATGAGACTGAGTGGTGGGAAGGGTCCCAAACACAGGGCCAGACCAGGGCATGGGAGGGCCTGGCCTCCAAATCAGGGAACGAGGGTGCTGGGCCTTCCCTGCCCCGAACCGGCGGAATACTGTCTTCCTCCTGAGGCTCAGCGTCCTCCCCCAGAGCTCAAACGGTGAGCTGACGTGGTTTACTGGCACATCCGGTTCCAACCAGAGCACCCTTGTGTGCGAAAAGCCTCCCTAAAGCAGCCGCTCCACACCTACCCGTTTCGGGAGAAAAAGGTGGAGACAGAGGACACAGGACTTACTTGGTCTCCTCGATGCTGAGTGACGAGGCATCTCCCGAGCTAGGTTTGGAAGTGGCAGCTGAAACAATAGGACGCAGGGCTCAGGAGCTGAACACGAAGCCAAGAAGCCACATCCTTGGCCCCAGCTGCAGGGCCACAGACGAGGGCCCTCACCAGCACCAGGCCCTCCCGAGACGCCGGGACACGGCAGCCGTCTCCCAGCCCTGTAACTCCTTCCAGCTGAGTCCCAGTCCTGAGAAGCCCACCTCATCGACACACCTTCTCTTCTTGACCCCAAATGCCCAACTTTCTGCACCCGTCTCTTTGTTACACCTTCCCTTTATACGTTCTGCGTTTTCAACCTGCATTGCCCTCTCTGGCCTCACTCCGAATGACAAAGTCCCAGCCAAAAGCCAAGATCACATGCCAAGTCCCTCATGACGTCCGGTTCAATTGCATATTAGTCAGAATGAGCTGCTCTCCCAGACTCCACGGCACAGTCAGTCATTTCTGGGTCTGTCACTCCCCATGAGGCAGGGGCCATGTCGGCAGCATGACCGCGTCCTCTGCAATTCATGTAGTCAAGATAAACACTTACTGGCGTCCTGCTCTGTCTGAGAACACAGAGACAAAGAAGTATCTCAAACTCCCTCCCTCCGTCTCACAAAGAGAAAACCACCTCACTGAACACAGACAGAAGCTAGACACTCTGGGATGGAGCTGCCCCAACCCAGCTCCCACAGCGTACTGGTCCCTCCTACACCCCCGCCCCACGGCTTACTTCCTCCCCTTCCCCCCCACATGGACCCTGGACTCCAGACCCTCTCCAGGCTTACCAGCCTCCTTGTGTCTAAATCTAACGGATTCTTTTCAGCTCTGGTTTTGCCTGACAGGCTGTGGCATGCAGCACTTTCCATCCCTTCCTTCTAAAGCTCTCTTCCCACAAGGTTCAGTGTTTTCCTGCCTTTTTGGCTACTCTACCACCTTTCCTGTCGTGTTTTGCTCCATCTTCTACTAAAGTATCAACATTTCTTGGGCTCTACTCATGACCTTGGCTTCACACTCCCCGCTCTCTCAGGGGACTTCATTTGCCTCTCCCAAATCACTCCATCAAGCCCAAACCCTGGGTCTCTCCCATGCACATCAAATGCAATGCTCTCCAAAACTGAGTTCATTATCTTGCCCCCCAAATCTGCTTCTCTTCCAAACTCCTCAACTTCAGCGGATGACAGCATGACCCACCTAGTTGCTGAAACCAAAATTCCAGTCATGCTCAATTCCTTCTTTCCCTTCCCACCCTCATTCAAGCGCACCGACTCCTCTTCCAAACTACCCCTGCAGTCTGCCCAAGTCTCTCCACCCCACTGCTGCCACTCTGGTGCAGGCCACTCCCGGCCTCCAGCCTTGGCCATCCTTGACCCAGTTCTCCATGCTGTGATCTTTGCAAAATGTGCTCGGGATCAACCCACTCCTTCCACTCCAAATCCACAGCTCTCTACTACCCCCAGGACAAAATTCAGAGTTCTTAACACACCAAGGGCCCTTCGTGTTCAGACCCCTACCTGTCTTACAGCCTTAGGTCTCTACTGTGCACCCTTCGCGATTTGCCCTCACCATACCAGGTTTTGTCCTGCTTCCATACACGCTGATGCCATTCCCTTTCCTCCCTCCTTCCTTCATTCATTACATTTATTGAGGGCCTGTGAATAGCCAATTCATTCATTCATCCATTCATTCGTTGAGGGCCTGTGAAAAGCCAATTAAGGGAAACAAAATCTCTGTACTCAGAGGTTAGTGGAGGGGACAACCTTTAAGCCCAAATACCCTTAAGAAGGCCTTTTACTAAGTGCTGACGAGGACAACCTGCGGCTATCTCCACCTGCAGAGCTGGGCCAAAGCCAGGGACCCCAGGCCGCCCGCCCCGCCCCCTGGGCAGGCCCCGCCCCTCACCGGCCTCGTAGCCATCGTCGCGCTTTTCCCGCTTCACGCGCCGCTCGGAGGGCTCGGCCTGGCTGCGCTCCCGCCCGTGCGCACTGCTGCGGGCCTCGGTCTCGCGCCGTCCGCTCCCGCGCTCGGTGCCCCGTTCCCGGCTCCGCTTCCGTCGTTCGCCCCCGCTGCTGCCGCCACCGCCACTCCGGTGCTTGTGTTTTTTGTGCTCCCGATGTCGCGGCGGCTGCTCGGTGGCGCCCCCGGTGCCGGCCGCTGCCGTCGTCCCGGCCGCCTCCTTCTCCCCGCGGTGCTTCTTTGACGACCCCATGGTAGTATGTCTGCCCCGAGCCCGGCCGCCACCGAGCCCAGACGACGCAAAATGGGAAAACTTCCGGGTCGCCCGGCAGCCGCTGTCGTGTTGCCGGAAACTAAGAGCGGCTGCTTCCGTCGTTCGCATCAGCGTCTGCCCCAGAGGTTCATGGGAAGGCCCAGATTGGATCTCGCCTGCTCGATCACGGCTCCATCTGGCCGGGTGGACGTCTTTGAATCGGTGGTACAATTGCGCGTGCGCTCATCCAGGTGCACGGACCTGATGGAGATCTGGGTCCCGGAGCTATGAGGGTCCAAAGGGTATCTGAGCCAGCGTCCCCGGAGCTGGGGGTCCCTGCCAGGCTTCCCTGCGCTTGCACAACCTAGCCGCGGGATGCTCACTGTCTCACGGACTTTCCGTGGACAGCTCCCCCGCTCCAGTGAGGCGTCCCCCAATGGACTCTGGGGTCGTGCCTCATTCGGGGCTGGAGGAACCAGCTTACTCTCCTCTGAGCTCCACAGACCAGTCTGAGTCCCTCTAATCAGTTTTGTCAGTAAATGCTGTCTTCCCACGTTCTCTGGATTTTTTTTCCATTTTTTTATTTATCTATTTTAGAGAGAGAAACAAATTTGTTGTTCCAATTAGTCGTTCATTCACTGGTTGATTCTTGTATGCGCCCTGACCATATCTAACCAGCAGCCTTGGCTATGGGGCTGAAGCTTTAACCAACTGAGCTACCTGGCCTGGGCCGGACTGGATTTTCTAACCTGCGCTCTGTGAACTGCTAAGGAGCTCCAGAAGAACTGTGTGCTTGTGAACCCCCTGAAATTTGGTGCAAAATTTGGCACAACTGTATGTGTGTGTGCTTTTTCCCCCTTGAGAGGGGCTATAACTTGAAGTTACTTTAAGTTAAAAGCCCAGTTAACACAATCCCTCCTGACTCCCCACCCTACCCCCAGTTGCTCCATCTGGCGTTCCCTAAGCATACATCTGCTGTGGTGTGATGTGTGTGCCCTTTCAAAGGTCTGCCCCCCAGCGGACTGGGAGTTCTCCAAGGCACAGCCCGTCCTGTCCTATTCACTCTCGAATTTCTAGGACCCAGCATATGTGCTGGAGACTGGGGGGTGGGGTGGGGGGGTGCTCTGTGAGATGCCCCACTCCTTGGCAGCACACAGAAGGCCGCGTGTGCTGGGTGCTGCCGGCTGAAATACCCAGAATCCCCAGGGGGTGGGGAGACAAGCTCCACCTGCTGCCTACCCACCCACCACATCGTTCTCCCAACCCACAGCCTCTTCCCACCACCACCAGAAACTCCACACTGCATTTTTCATAAAGCCTTTAATTTTTATCTAAGGTACTGAATTTCCAGTCTGGGCTTGGGGTGGACTGCCTCTCAGGCTGGCTGCCGACGGGTTCTTTACTTGGGGGGCTTTGAGAAGAGCGCTCCGCTCTCTCTGTTGACCTGTGCCTCCTTAAAGGTGAACACAAGGATAGAGGCCACTGTTCTCCGCTGCTGCCCAGCCCCACACCCAAGGACACCCGGCTATAGGAGGGGAAAGGGCATTGCCATCAATATGGGTTCAAATCTGACTCCTATGCTGTGGGACCCTGAGGAACTGACTTTCTGTCTTTGAGCCTCAGTTTCCTTCTTGTGAATTAGGCGTCGTAATCCCTGCCCTGCAACGGGTTGCTCTAAAGCATAAGGGACAGTATATGGTGGGGACTGGCACGGAACCAGTCCACAATGGAGGCTCGATGTGTAGCCACTCAGAGGGCCGAAGATTCCCAGTCTGACCCTGCTGCTTATTGAGTCCTTGGGAAAGACCCTGCCCCTCAAGTCTTGAGTTTCTTCATGGAGAAGTGGGGGCCCCACCTTCCTTGGGTGACATGGAGGACAGAGTCCAGGATGTATCTGCTGCCTGGTAGAGCAGCAGAGTCTTCCAGGTCATGGAGGAGGGATGCAGGGTGGACAGGGCAGGACTGAAGCTTAGGTCCAGGGCTGCCCACCGAGTTCCCCCAGCCTTTCCCCAGACTTCCAGCCCACGTTAAAGGGGGACGGGGACAGCAGGAGGAGAGCCTGCTGGGCCCAGAGTGCGGGTGGTGGTGCCCCTTCTCCCCACAGCCAGGCTGAGCCAGCGTCTCGGCCAGCTAGACGGCCTCACCTGGGTTTCCTGGAGGGGCCCTTGCTTGTCTCGGCCAGCAGCTGTTTCTCATCCAGCCCCAGGGCTGACAGCACCTGGGAGAAACGCCGGGTCACGGTGAGCCGGGCGTTGGCCTGAGGAGAGAGAAAGGGGGGGTGTTCCGTTCTGCACCAGGGCCGCTGAGGACAAGTGGGGCTGATTACTGAGGGGGTCCAGGGCTTCCAAATGGGCTGCAGCCTGGGGTCCCATCTAAGGGGGCCCTCTCCCACTTGCCCCCCCACACACACAGGCCCAGTGAGAAGCCACATTCTCAGGGGGAAGCTGCCTTGTGCCCAGGGCTAGCCCTCACCTGCATGGCCTGCTGGAACAGGTAGGGCCGGGCTTGCACCCTGTGCTGGATGCCCTGCAGCTCAGCCTGGTACTCAACAAAGCGTTCTCGCTCCTGGCGCCTGCAGGGAGACAGACCTCTGGGCAGCGAGCCCTGGACACAACCCATCTCCACTTGTGAGCCGCTCATCTTCACTGGGGACTTTGCGTCCTCCTGCCCTTACCTTTACAAAGCCATTTCACTCCTGTCCTCCCCCTGAATCCCTCCTGAGGTCACTGGGGTAGGAATTAGTGTTTGCCCCGCTTTACTGCAACTCCCCTAAGGCTCAGGAGGGTTGAGCGACTTGGCCAAGGTTGCACAGCTGGGACAGGAGAGACTGAGCCCTGAGCTGAAGTCTCCAGGCTGTGCAGCCAGGGCTCGCCCATCCTCCCGGCCGCCCCTGAGGGAGGGGGGCCAACACTGGCTTCTGAGCAACTGGGCATCTACTCGCAGTCTCTCCCCTCCCTGGTCCATGCCCGCACCTTCTCACACTGCGCCTGTGAGGAGGAGGCTGTGGCTTCGGGCACAGCCCTGCACTGAGCTCTAGGTTGTTTTCTCCTCTGTGCTGTGGCAGGGATTGGACAAGCCTGCCAGCATTTGCTGCGGTTCTTATAAGCAGACAGCTTAGGAAATGGGACACAGGAACTAAACCATGTGTTGCAAATAAAAGAACACATCCCGAAAGATTTCCGCTAGGGAAGCACAAACCCACTTAAAAAATCCAGTTTGCGCACTTATCAGAAATGTGTCTGCTCAGCAAGCTGAGCCTCCCGACAGCAGGAGGGGCCCTCCGGCCGCATCACAGGCAGGTCCGGGCACCCTTCTGAGAGGCGCATATGAGAGGCCAGGGCATGGTGGCAGCACCCACAGACAGTACTGGAGGGGAAGAGGGGCCAGCTCTCGCTGGGATCTCCAGCAAGTCCACCAGGGGCTGTAGAAAACACTGCCCTGCAGGGCCCAAACCCTTGGCTATAAGCCAGGGAAGGAGCCTTCCTTCATTCAAGAAAAGGAGGTAGATTTGAGCCCTGGCTGGTGTGGCTCAGTGTACCGAGTGCCGGCCTGCAAACCAAAGGGTCGCCAGTTCGATTCCCAGTCAGGGCACATGCCTGGGTTGCAGGCCAGGACCTCAGTAGGGGGTGCAAGGGAGACAACTCACACATTAATGTTTCCCTCTCTCCCTCCCTCCCTTCCCTTCTGTCTAAAAATAAATAAAAAGAATATTTTTAAAAAGAAAAAGAGAGAGACTTGAAAACTCATGGCCAGGGGCACAAGTTACAGCCACAAGGAGTCCCTCCATTCAGGAAGGACTTGACAGCAGTTACAAGGGGTGGGGAGTTGGGAAACATGAGCTGCCGTTCAGTCGTTGTCTTGCCTGTGATGTCATGAACGCTTTCCTGCCCGATTCATCTGTTATTTCTGTTAGAATTCAGAGAGAGCACCTGTCTGGGAGCCCGAGTGACAAAGGAGGCAGTGTCCATGTGTCAGGCATGTCCGCCATTGTCATCTCTGATTCCAAGCAAGTCACATCACCTCCCCACCCTGGGTGACCCCTCTGTGCCCTCCCTCCTGGCCAGGCTGGAGTCTCCGCTGCGCTCAGACAGAGAAAAGTTCACAGGCTGCGAGGGCCGGGAGGCCCCCAAGAGGCAAATGAAAGGCGTGTGTTTGAAATACTCATCTCACTGACATCTGCTCCTTGGAGTTTGAAACCTTCCGCTTCCGCCTTAGTGAGAAGCAAAGACCTTGAGGTCTGGTCAGAAGGCATCTCCAAGGTGAAAGGAGATGAGGCTAGGAAGGGGCTGTCCTGGTGCCAGCGGCACCCGGTAGGTGCTCCTTGTCCACAGCATCGGCGACCACAGTATTATCTGTTTCACTTGGTTGGGCTTTGGGGGAGGACCCCGGTGCCCTCTGTCTGAGGACCGGGTGGGCGCTGAGCCCTCCCAGGCAGTGGAGCAGGCGGCTAACGGGCTGCCTGGGTTGGAATCCCAGCTTCGCAGCTCACTTGCTATTTTTGGTAAATTATTTCAGTTCTCTGAGCCTCTGTTTTCTCATCTGTAGAATCATGGGGATGGTGATAATACCTACCTCATGGGACTGTTATGAGCCTAAAAGAAATTTTCTTTTAAATATGCATTTGTGGTTTTTTTAATGGTCAAACTGTAGGAAGAGAATAAAACAGATGACTCTTCACCTTGACCGTGAACATTGCCTTCTTCAGGAGTGGGACTATAGGTGCTGTTCACCTTCTGCATCAACTCTTTTGGTAGTATCTGGATTTTTATAGCAAGTACGTTTGGCTTTTGAAATCAGAAGAACAAGATTCGAAAGTGGTAAAGCACGTAGCACATTTAGCCTGAGCGTCTGACAGCTTCAGACGTTGGTATCAGCTGGGCGACGCTGGCCCAGCCCCTGAGCCTCCCTGTCTTGATCTATAAAGTGCAGCAAAGTGCACAGCCAGCCTGCCTGAGCTGGAGGGTGGCAGCGGAGGCTCAGTCCTGAGGGAAGGTGAAGTCTTGGTCTCTTGTGTCCTTCTGTCTGTCCCCACCAGGCCCTGCACTGCCAGGCTTCCTACCTCAGCTCTTCCAGTTTCTGCCGGGCGGCCCCCGGCCCTCGACTCCCTCTGGGTGCATAGGCCGCCAGGCAGTGGGCCACCTGCTGCTGGACCCGCTGCTCCCGGGCCCGCCGCAGCTCTGCCTGCTGCCGCTCCTCCTGCTGCTGCCGCTCCCAGGCCTGCAGCAGGCTCCTGGGGCGGGGTGAGGGGGGGACAGGAACAGAAGTGTGTGGGGCACAGCAGCCTCATGGAGGGTCAGGGACCATGTGGGGCAGTGTGGGGCTAGGCTAGTGTGTCTTGGCTTGAGGGGCAGGCAGATGGATGAATGGAAAGAAAAAAGAAACAAAATGGATGGACGAAGGGGCGGATACGTGGTGTGGATGGTCAAATAGACCACCTCGGTCAACCTGGAAGCTTCTTCCCCCAGATCTCGGGCCAGTTCCTTCTTATCAGTCAGGCCTGGGCTCACACGCCAGGGAAAGAGAGACTCCCTGACCAGCCCACGGACCCTCAGGTGGACGGAGAGATGGATGGGTAGATGGATGGTCAGAAGACTGACGAATAGATAAAGGAAGGAAAGGAGGAGAGGATGACTGACTAAGTGTCCCTTGGAGAACTGCCTCTGTCTCTACTTGCTGCCTGGCCCCCACCCACCTCCCTCCTCCACCTTACCTGGTGGCCTCCTGTCGTTTGTGGAAGGTACGGTTAGGAAGGTTGACAAATAGGAGGGTCTCCTCATCTCCGGAGGCACAGGCCCTCCCGCTCCTGTTGGAGGCCTGGACAGCAGCCGGCAAAGCCTTCAAGGGGTGCTTTCTGGGACCTACCCCTGTGGGAGGAGTCAGAGACTGCCCTCTCTCCCCACCCACTGGGCAATCCCATCCAGCCTCTGGAGCCCAACTCAGGCCTGCCTGAACTCTGGGCCCAGGTCCTGGCCCCCCCACCTTCTCCCCAAAGTGCAACTTCCTAGGGCATCTAGGCATTGACCCTCACACTCACCACAGTCCAAGTCTTGCTGTAATTGCTGCTGCAGCTTTTCCAGGTCCCACGTCCCCTCCAGCTTCGGGGCCCTTGCCTTCCTCCTCCGTGGTCCTTGAGAGGGGCTGGAGCTGGCACTGCTCCCTTGGCATTGCAGCTCCCCCTCCTCGGAGGCCTCCTCGCAGGAATTCCACCCCTTTCTCCGAGCCCCCGCCCTCCTTCTGTGGGGGGCCCTGTGCTCTTCTTCCTCCCCCTCTTCCGTTGCTTCTGCAAACCATTTCTCTTTGGGGACCGACCCTTTCCTGGGGAGCTGGGGCAGTTCCCCAGAGCTCAGATCCCTCTCAGCCTCCTCAGCACTGGGGGCTTCTGGCTCAGCAGCCTCCTCCGACTCCGATCCGGATCCTGACCTCTTCCCAGGTGGCTGGAGGCCACACTCATGGGGCAGCTCCAGCTCCTGGCCCTCCTCTTGGCCAGAAGGGATAGAGACGCAGCTCCAGGTCCTGAGCTGCTGACTTCCCTCCAGGTTTCGAGTCTTCATCTTCCAGAATAAGCCATGAGCCTCTAGGAGGTTGGCAGTGGACTTACAGCTGGACTTGTGCTTGGGGGATGCAAATGCCAAGGGCAGGGCATGCTGGCCAGGGGCCGAGGGGGAGCCAGGCTGAAGCGTAGCTCGGCCATTTCTGGCGATGCTCTCCCAGGCCCACTGGAAAGGGAATGAGGGTTTCCGAGGACAGGGGAAGAGACTGAGGAGGGAGAGGGCAGGGGGCAGAGGTCAGGGTCTGGGTGCTGGCCCCCAGCAGGGCCTGACATCCAGCATCCCCCCCACCCCACCCGCCCCCCTCCCCCGCTCTTGCTACAGCTGCTTACTCCTCAACCTCAGCAGAGCTGTGCCCTTTCTTGTTCCGGGTCCTGGAGGTCCGGTCTTTCTTCACTGTCTGCCCTGCGCTCTGAGATCGCTGCAGCTGGTCCTGAGTTACACTGTCACCACTCCCAAGCCTCCCCTGGGCAGAGACAGGAGAGGAGGCCCAGCTCCTAGAGCACCTTGCACTTCCCCAGGGGGCCTCCGCTTCTCTGCACCTTCCTCCCCCCCCCCCCCCCCCCGCCCCGCAGCGGACTGCTAGCCACCTCAGTTCATGAACTTCAATCAGCAACAGCTCAGGACTTTCACACTTTCACCTTCCCATCACACTCGTCGTGCCGATGAGAACACAAAGGTTCAGAGCGGTGACATAATTTGACTAAGGTCACACAGCCAGTAAATGGAGCCAGGACCTGGACTAGTTGAGTCTGTCCCCACAGCCCAGATTTGTCACCATTGCACTGTGCTGCCTCTGGCCCCTGTCAGCTCTTCTGAGCGCCCCGTGGGGCCCTGGACTTGCTAAGTTAAAGTGGAAGGAATTCAGTACCGCCCCGCAGCACGGCCCCTGTAGCGGCGCCCTGCCAGGGGCCTGAGAGTCATCCCTGGCATCTTCTTGCCTTCGCCCCATCCCAGCAGGCCTCCCCACGGTCCCTTCACTCCTCCAGCCTCCCTCACTCTCACTCTTACTCTCACTCTCAGCTTCAGTCTCATGGCTTCTCAAGGGCCTCCCTCAGCCCCGGCCGCCCCTGACCCCAGGCAGCCAGCCTGCCTCTTGGAAGGTTGGAAGTGGGCCGTTGGAAGTCCCCTGGCAGGGCCGCCCTCACCTGCTCAGCCCGGGGGGTGCCCGAGAGAAGCTTGAGGAGCCCCGGAGCTGTCCCTGGAGCCTGGAGCCGGGGTTCCTGCCCTGGTCTCCTCGACCTGGTCCTGACCAACTGTTGGTGGGTGTTTAGCATATTGGTGTCCTGCCCCACCCCCACCCCCATCTGCCAACCTTGGAACTGTCCTCCCCGCCATCTCTATGGCAACCAGTCCTCAGCCAAGTTTCCAGGGCTCTGGCAAACAGCAGGCCAGGAAGGGTCAGCCAGGATGGGATGGGAGACCAACTTCCTCCCTGATGGGAGAGTTCAGCAGGATGCTGAGGAATAGTCCAAGCCTGGGCGTTCAGAAACCCAGGGCCAAGTCCTGCCTCTTTAGGCCTGCACATTGACCAGGTCTGAGTCCCCCGTCTTTCCTTGGCCTATGTTTCCCCATCTGTCTGTAAAATGGACCTCAAGATGCGGCCACCTGGAAGGGCCCTCGGGTCCTATGAAGATGGCCAGGCGGCCCCTGAGATGGGCCCTCTCCCTCTGCCTGCCTCCGGGGCCGCCCCCAGCCGCGGCGGAGGCCCTGTGGGAGCCAAACTGAACTCTCCCAAGGTCTTGTTCAAACCACTTGCCCTCCCAGGCCCTGGCCAGGCAGGAAAGGCCAGAAAGCTGAATGCCACGTTCAAGAGCAAGGTAGTAGGCAAAGCAAGCCCGAAGAAAGCTCTGCAGTGGGTGAGAGAATTTGAACTTCATCTCAAACTCCTAGCGGCGCCAAAAAGCCTTGCTGCGGGAAATCCCTGAGGGACGCCAGGTGCTGACCACTCCCACCCACGGCACAGGGACACGGTGCCAATCCGAGGCCCTGGAGCCGCCTCTCACCAGCTCTGTGACCTTGGACAAGTCTCTTCCCTTCTCTGCCGAACTGGCCCATTCCTTAGGTGTGTTGCAAGGAAAATGAAATCACAAAGGCAATGCAGTCAGTCAATGTCCATTTTTACTATTGTAATAACAACTAACCATTATTGGGAGGCAGCGGCACATAAAGGCTAAGAGCACAAAGGAAGTGCTGGGGTTCACACCCCAGCCCCTCCGCTTGCTGCGTGCTTTCTTGGAGCCTCTCTTTCCTCACAAGCAACACTCGGGTGGTGATAATTGCCTCTGACTCCCAGGGCCGCAGTGAGGGCTGAGTCGGTTCACGTACACAGGCACACACAGCAACTCCATGGCCCCGTGACTGCTACCTGAGCGTCGTTAGTGAGCCCGCAGAGCGGCCCCAGTGAGACAGGTCATGGAAGTACCTCCCAGCAGGTGCCCTGGAGGCATGTTTCCTCAGCCCCCTGTTGCTCTCCGCCCTCCCCGCTCTCAGACTAACGCAACCAGCTCAACCAACTCAACAGCCTAAATGACGCTGCAGGTGAAAAAGGTCCCTTGTCTCCCAAAATAGGTCAACTCAGCTCTGTCTGGTGAGCTGTCGTCCCATCCCCCATCCACATCCTCTACTGAATGTCACCCCCAGGACCCCAGGTGGAAGGCACAGGGGTTTCATATGCAGAGAACACAGGGCCCTGCAGACCCCGACCCAACTGATTTTTTGAACAAAGTCTAGGCCACTGACTTCCTTGGCAGAGGACAGGCCTGGGCTCCTCAGGCCACCATTTCCACAAGGCGCGTTCAGACCGCTTCTCTAGCCACCCTTGCTCTCCTGCAAGGGACGCCATCCAGTCTGGCGGCCTCACGAGCCGTCTGTGGCCTCCCAGCTGCCCCAGGTTGCACGTCTCAGCCCCAACCCTCCCGGCGTCGTCCAGACTCCTCCAAAGGCGGCAGCTTCGCACATCTTGTGTATCACGTGCCTCTTCGTGGCATCAGTTCCTCCTGTGCTTGACTTAGTCTCACGTTGTTTTGTACGGTGACGTGCTGCACAGCTGAGTGGCCCAGGAGCGGTAGACTCCGCCACACAGCCTGGGTGTGCAGGACACTAGACCACCTGGGTCTGTGTAGGTGCCTCTGCGATGTTCCGACGACAACGACAGAATCACCTAATGAAGCACTTCCCTATTTTTTTTAAGATCTTATTTATTTATTTGTAGAGAGAGGGGAAGGGAGGGAGAAAGAGAGGGAGAGAAACATTGATGTGAGAGACACAGTGCATGGTTGCCTCTCACACGTAACCCAACTGGAGATCAAACCAGAGACCTTTCACTCTGGGGGACGACACCCAGTCGACACCCAAACAGCCGAACCACACAAGTCAGGGCCTGTGTCCCTGTAATTTTTATTGAAGAGCACTGGTTATTCCTTTAAGCACATCTTTGTTCATTTTTTGCCATTGGGCCAATTTTTATGTGAGTTGGTTGTTTAAATTCTTGCCCATTTCTCTGTTGTGTTTCTTGTCTTTTTCTTTCTTTCTTTTTTAAAGAGTTTGCTTATTTATTTTTAGAGAGAAGGGAAGGAAAGGAGAGAGACATCAATGTGTGGTTGCCTCTCATGCACCCCCTACTGGGGACCTGGCTTGCAATCCAGGCACGTGCCCTGACTGGGAATTGAATTGGCGACCCTCTGGTTCACAGGCCAGTGCTCAGTCCACTGAGCCACACCAGCCAGGGCTCTTGTCTTTTTCTTATTGACTGGTAGTTCTTTATTCACAAGGTCGAAGCCATCCATCAGTAGCATCATCTCTGAGGGCCTTTGCGGAGCACAAATCCTTGATATTGACACGGATCCGTAAATTTTTTTTTTATCATTGCTGTTGAAGCACAGTTGCCTCCCCTCCCCCCTCCCCCCACCTGTAAATGTTTTGAATGGGGGTCTGTATTTTGGATGTCTGAAGTCCTTTCCCCACCCCCAGGTGTGCACTCTCCCATAATTTTGTCTGTGAGATGATGGTGCGACACTGATGTTCAGAGTGACGTGCTTTGTGCCCTCCTCCTCTGTCACTGTCCTCATCTGGTCTGAGTCACGTGAGGAACTGAGCAGCCGTCTGTCACTCTCTGTCTCCAGGAACAACTCGCACAAGGTAAGGGCCATGTGTTCCTTGAAAGCCTGGTGGCGCGTCCCTGCAAAAGCGGCCCCGTCGGGGCTCTTCCACATCGGAATCTGGGATTACGACTTTATCTGCTGGGACTGGTCCATTGAAGTGTTTCTCCCTTTTTCTGCCAACTGTGGCACGTCATATTTTCCTGGGGAGGCATTCACTTTGATTAAGTTTGTATATTGACTAACATATAACTATTTGTCACATTCTTTGATATTTGGATATTTTAAACTTTTGTGGGAGCTTGGGGGCCAGATCATGCGAGACCCGGAGGCCACGGAAAGGACCCTGGATTTGTTGTCATGTGCGTGACAGAAGGTGTGACAGGACTGGGGAATGGCACTGGGTCCAGCGTAGCGGGAAGGAAGCTCCAAACTTAGCTACTGCTGGCCAAGATCCAAATTGTGAAGAAAACAGAAAGAAATCATCTGTCACTCTTGAAGCCGCTGAGAGTACAAAGGGCGGGAGGGCGGATTCGGAAAGCAGGTTTGCGAGGAGTGTGGTCTGAAAGAGCTGACACCGCACCGGCCCCAGCACTCTCTCCGGAGGATGACTGGGGGCTGCCCTCCAGTCCCGCATCCGGGAGAAGCGCGTGTGGAGGGCTCCAGGTGGGCTTCCCAAAGTTAATGCAGCCGGGGGGGGGGGGGCGTCCATGAGGCCTCCAGGAAAGGCTGTGCGACCACACTGGGCACTGACCCTCGGCGGGGCAGCTGGTGGTCTTGCCCAGGGGGCTTCTGTTGTTTGGAGGCAGGCGAGGCAGGGTCTACCCAACAGTGTGGGTCTGTGGGTGCCCGTCCAGAGAAAACCAGAACCAGACAAGAGGGAGGCCCTGCCCGCTCCCCAGGAGTTGCAGTCATGGGGGAGACCATAAAGCAGCCATCACAGCCCCCCACAGTGGGGGGAGCCCACCTTAGCCTGGTGCCACCCGGAAAGCAAGATGCCTTCTTGCCAGGACGGAGGAAGAACCTTGTACCCACTTTCTGTCCGCGGACTTCCCTCCTTGTCCGCGGGGCCCACACGGCTGGGGAAGTGGAGAGAGACTGTTGCACGGAGCTTAGAGATGTAGCCGCTGCACAGAGCTGGGCCTCCCAACAGAACCCGCCTACTGGCTTCAGGGGACCGCCCGCACTGCCAGGACACACAGCACAGGAAGTCACCATTGCACTGAGGGGGCGAAGGAGGTTCCCTTATGAACTTTACAGGGACATTGGGAGACAAAAATAATCTTTTATTACATCCCATCAATCTGGTTTGGCCAAAGCAGCCATCGCAGCGGAGGGTTCTAAGAGGGGCAGTGATATGAGGTGATCTGTGTTTTTAAAAAGACCCCTCTCACCCTGGCTGGTGTGGCTCAGTGGACTGCGCACTGGCCTGCAAACCCAAAAACCGCTGGTTCGATTCCTGGTCAGGGCACACACCTGGGTTGTGGGCCAGGTCCCCAGTTGGAGGCTAACAAGAGGCAACCAACGGATGTTCCTCTTCCCCTCTCTCTGAAAATAAATAAATAAATAAAATCTTTAAAAGCTCCCCTCTGTCTGCTGCGTAGAGATTAAACTGGAGGGCCAGGGTGAGAGGGTCTGCAGGACTGGAGCTAGGCAGGGCGGAGAGAGGAAAGAGGAGGAGGGCCCGGAGTCTGTGAGCCTGGACCCACCACCACGAAAGGTCAGTGGGGAGAAGGGACGGAAGGCTGCTAGCCCAGGGGAGGAAATGTTTCAAAGAGCAGGGAGTGACCAGCTTCAACAAGAGCTACTGAGAGGCCAAGGCAAGGTCGCCAGTTAACAACTAAACTGGGCGACCTTCCTTGTTCCCGAGGCCCATATCCAAGGCTCAGACATGGCAGGCTCACGGCAGACTCCTGCGGTGACAACGGCCATGCGCGTGCAGTGGGGCTGTCCCCATCACTCAGTCCTCCCCACTCAGCTCCCCACAGAGCCCCATCTGAAACTTCCCCTTTGGAGCTAAAAGGAAAAGTCTAGGAAAAATTTAGCTAAGGTCTAGTAAAAACTTCCTTTCCCCCAGGGAACATGTAGACTGTGTCTTCTTTGGGGGTGGGGAGGGGGAGCTAAGTTACTACGTCTCCCTTCTTTTGCTTTGGCTGCCAGGAAGCTCAGAGTCAAACTTGTGACATTCAATTAATTGAGCACCTTAT